TAAAAAATAAACTCATATTATCAAAAACAAAACAACATAAGAATTGGCATAAAAACAGACATCTAGACAAGTGTAATAGAATGGAGAGACCAGAAACCAATCCAAACATAAACAGATAATTTTTGACAAAATTAGCAAGAAGACACAATGGGAGAAGGATAGTCTCTTCAATAAATGGTGCTAAGAAAATAGGATTGCCATATTTAAGTCTTCTTTACACCATACATAAAATCAACTCAAGATATATAAAGCCACAGAAAGTAAAAAACTCCTGAAAGAGAATATACGGGGAAAGCTCATGGCTATAGGCATTGGCAATGATTTATTGGATATCTCACCAAGAGCTCAGGCCACAAAAGCAAAAATAATTGAGACTACATCAAACTAAAGAGCTTTTACATAGCAAAGAAAATAATCAACAAAATGAAATAGCAGCCTAAAGATTTAGAAAAATATATTTGCAAGTCATATATTGGATAAAATGTTAATATTTGGAGGTAATGTTGAAAATAATGGCTGGGAGGACCCAACATGGTGGCGGGCAGGGAGGCAGCGCTTTCAGTACCTCCTCATTAACGGGGTCAGAGAGACGCATTAATACGCTTAGATTCTACCTGCTGAGAAACTTCTAGCAAAATTCCGCTGAAATGAGACCTGCTGGGAATTAGTAGGATTATTGGAGGTGACAGTTTGCCCCAGACAAGTGAATCTCTAYCATGTGGCGCAAAGGTCCAGACCCGCCGGCTGCCGCCCGTGGGGCTCAGTGACCGGTCGCTGCCCGCGCAGCTCAGCGACCAGCCTCCGAGGCGCGGCTCAGCAGGCACGGTGAAGGGACCCTATGAAGAGGTCTCTAACCAAGCCTTCATGAAATAGCAAACCAGCAACCAAAACCAACCAAGATTGGGTCAGACCAGAAACAGGCCAGTCCCACCCCTCCCTTCGGACACTCCGGCAAGGAGCCTGGGGCCTGCCATAGCAGAGAGGTGACGTCACCAGAGTTTGGTCGAAGAGATTCCTTCCCAGCAGAATCCACTGTGACTCCCACCCCCACCAGATACAAACAGCTGGGAAACCTCAGGAATCTCTCCGGGGGCGTGACTGTAGGGGTGGAGGGAAGCAGAGAAGACTCCCCACCCCCAACTCCCCCTACCACCAGTGGCGTGAGCATGACTGTAGGGGCGGATGGAAGCAGAGGGCACTCCCGACCCCCAACTCCTCCTACCACCAGTGGAGTGGACGTGACTGTAGGGGCCGAGGGAAGCAGAGGGGATTCTCGATCCCCAACTCCCCTTACCACCAACGGTGACACCCAAGGTCTTAGCCGCCAGTTTCCAAGAGCGTGCCCACCAAAGGGGTCCGGAAAAATTAAACTGTTGGTTTAATTCATCTACAGCACTGGGGTGTAGATGAATGTCAGAGAGCGTGCTCAGTTGTTCAGGAAATAGGGCACGCAGTGGGGCTGCAAGTGTAACCATATCCTTGGGGAACCGCCTCTGGTGAGCAGGACCTGGCTRGCTGGCAGAAGGAAGGGGGGRAGGGGCCGGAGAATTGAAACGGCGCTGGACTAACAGGAATGAGAGACTCCCAGGAGCCGCCTTACAGGGATTGCTGTCGGCACATAGAGGACAGAAGCTCGGCTTGGAGGGCACAGCTCCGCCTACTGGAAGAGAAGAAAATGGATCCCTAAGACCTCATTTTTTTTCTTTTCTCCCTGTTTCCTTCTTTCTTTCTTTCCCTTTTCAAGTTTTATTGTTCTTTCCATTCTCCTCTTTTCTATCTATCTCTCTCTCTCCTTCTTTCTTTTTCAGAGCACCTTCCTTACCCTACCCCCCAACTTTCATCCCAAGATTTACATCTTCCATTAAGTATTGTCTAAATGCAAATAGGTGAATGTTTTGAGGCTGTCTATAGGGCTCCTAAATACCTAGCTATTACCAAACACCCTGATCCAATCACCTGTTAATATCCCCTTTCAGTAGAGCAATCTTCCAAAGTAGCCAAGACATACTAACCCTCATACCATCATAGCACCTAACCTAAACATAAAGTCCTAAGACCAAACAACAAATCACTATATGCATACAGAATCCGGAAGCCTTTTATGAATTGAATGAATC